CCCCAGGCCGCGCAGCCGCCGCTCGCACTCACGTTGCGGGCGGAGTCGCGGTCGGCTCCGCGCAGCAGCATCACCCGCACCACCTCGCTGTGGCCCATCTGAGACGCGATCCACAGCGGCGCCGTCCCGTCCTGCAAGAGCACACGGCATCCATGTAACGGCGGGCGCGCCGGAGAGGGCTCCCGACGCAAACCAGGAGGGTGACTTTAACCCACGGACACAGACTGGCTTCGGTCAGTGCCTGGACTAACTGGGTCATGGCTAACATTCAAGGTTTTGGCTTATAAAGGCCATCTTACGGCAAGACCTTTCACGGCGAAGTGTGATGCAGGCTCTAGGGGACACGTGCGGGGTGCGGCCAGTTGCACACCAGGCAGAACCAAATTCAACACACCCGGGAGGAGAAGCCAGCCTGTCCGTGTTTCCCCCTGACTCTGTGTGCTGCGTTACTGGCGGGTCCACACAACACACCCTGCTTCCTGGGGCCCTCTCATTCCCACAGAAGAGAGGGCAGTTTCCTCTGTGGTGTGTCTGAGGGTCAAAAAACTAAAGACACTTGTCCCACTCTGCTCCGTGTCCAAAACTCCCCACCGCCACGTAATTTTCAGGGACCACACTTTCATGCAGAATGTGATAGTGTGTCTTCTGGGAGGTGCTTTGCTCTGCCTCGTTATAGCAGAAGGGTATTTCCTGGGTATTACTCACCCCACGACCCTTTTTCCTGAATAGTAGGCCATGAAGGAGAGGTGTGCTGCTCCAGAGAAGAAAAGGAGAAACATCCAAGGGACAGAGAAGGATTTGACAGGAAGGTGGTTGCTGACAGACAGGAAAATAGCAAATCCTTCCAGGGCTGGAAGGCGGCACCAGAGAGGGAGCGGGGGAGGTGAAGGTTATGAGTGCCTGTGTTTTCCTCCCAGTCTGGGTTGATTCTAGGTTGCGTAAACTAGGGTGCTAGAAAAAATATTCACCTAGATAAACTAGGGTGAATTCCAGATGGAGAAGCATTTTCTCCGGTTCTTGGGATGAAACCCAGGAACATTGCGAGCCCCTTAGAGAGGCTCTGCCCTTGGCTGGTCTGACAGGTAGAAGAGAAATGACTGTGGGAGTCATCTGGGCTCATGTTGGACATGCCCCCAATACTCTTGGTCCACGTTCACCCAGGAGTCCTTGCCTGTCTGGGGAAATCAGAAGTGCTGGGTGAACAGTGGCCTGGAGTAAGCCTGGGGTTGGGGTGATAAGGCCACAGAACATCAGGAACATTGATGATGGCAGGGCCAGCATATGGTGGACCAGCTGCATCTTCAGGGTACCAGTGCAGGATGCTCAGGGGACCAGAGGGGCTGGACAAGCCAGCACGAGGAGCAGACAAGAGCACCCCCACCCCAAAGCCAGGGTGACAGTCTGACCTCTGAGAAGCTGGGTCACTTGGAGAGAAGGGCAGGAGGAAGGAGAATCCAGACTGACTAAACTTAACCTCTGAGGTAATTAAGGTAATATGGCCCAAAGAGACTCTTTAAGGCAGATAAGACTGAATTACTCATCAGGGGATATTCAGGCTGAAGAGCAAGATGATTCAGTTACAGAAACTCAAGTTCCACTTCCTGCTGGAGGATATAATTCCAACTCCAGGTTGCCAGCCACAGCAGGCACAAGGATGCTGCCCACTGCTGTGCTGGCAAAGGGACAGAGGAGGAAGACCACTGAGCAGGGTGAAGGATGATGGCAAATCAGGAGCCTAGAAGGATCTGGGGGAATTGAGGGGGTGGGAGGAGGACACTGGCACCTCTGTCTTGGGAGCGATGGGGAAAAGCTGGAACAAAGGCTGGAAGAAGGCTGGAGACATCCTAACATACTTCACACTTTACAAGAGCCTCTCAGAAAGATTCTTGATTCTGAATGTTATTTATTATTAGCAATATAAATATCTTCATCTGCACTTGGAGCTTATAAAGCACTTCCACATTCATTGTTTGATTCTCCCAGTTCAGGTTGTAACCAATCATTTGTCACTCAAACACCCAACAATTATTAAGCATCCTCTAAGTCTCAGGCAGAGTACTAAAAACTAAAAACAAAAACAAAAACAAAAACAGTCATGGTCTGTGTTCTCAAAGGAACGCAGTCTAGTGGAGAAGACACATGGGAATTTCAATACGATTGCAGCACCACAGTAAAGTACAGACAAAAATGCCCCAGATGAACCAGGAGAGGGGCCTTCTTACTGCATGGGGGCCACAGGGTCAGCTTCACAAACGGGTGATGTCTGAGCTGGGTCTTGAGAGAGGACTAGGATTTTGCCAGGTGGGAGAGAGGGGAAGGGGCCTTCTATGTAGAAGGAAGGACATTTACAGTCAGTGGCGTGGACAGGCGTGGCTGGCTCAGGCTGGGTGGGAAATCCAGCTGGATGCAGCCCAAGGGGTGTAGGCAGGACGCTGGGATGAAGGAGAGCCATTCTGGGCTCCACAAGAATTTTCCAGGGCTTCGCGCTGATGCCCTTTCCCTCCTGCCCTCTCTGATGCCCTTTCCCTCCTGCCCTCTCTGAGTTCATCTGCACTTTGTCAATACCGCCACCAGAGGGCAGGCAAGGAAAGGCAGCCAGCGGTCTGTTCCCCGTGCCTTCCAAGGGTTTGGCTGTTATTAGTTAAATTCTATTAACTGACACTAATATGTGGGAAAATGCCAAGAGGTGCTGTAGTAGGAACTACTATTACTATCATTTCAGTAATGCTAACACACCAATGTCACACCAGTGTTATCACCTTAACTGCAATAGTCATGGTAGGTGGAAAAAGAAGTCACCACTTCCTGGTCGTGAGAACTTAGGCAAATCCCTCTGAGCCTCAGCATCCCCTTCGGCAAAAATATTAGCCTCACAGAGATATTTGTGAAGGGGAAAACAGAAATGCGCTGAGCACAAGGACTGTCTAACAGATGCTTAGAAAATGGTAACTGAATCTGAATATTATTTATCATGAAAAACAGTAAGCAACTTTCATTTGTATTTTTGTTTACAAAGCATTCCATATGCTTTATTTAATTTGATTCTCCCAGTTATCCTGTGAGGTAACTGACTGAGCAGGTAAGAGTGACTGGGACAATGAGATTTGGAAGAACCTGTGTGTTTCATCACTGGTGCTTACTTCTCCAAATCTGAGTTTTGAACCCAGGAAGTTGAATGTGAATTAGAGCATTTGTCAGATCTAATTATTTCTCAGTTGATTATCTAGTTTGTGAAGAGGAATAGATTTTCCTCTTTCATACACCTCAATTTCTGTTTTCTCATATGTTTTCCTTCTATTACAATAGTCAGAATCTTCATTGTGAAGATGATTTCATAATAAAAATGACAGAAATTAAATCAACTGAGCTCCTTTCCGTAGTTTTGGAGAGAACCAGAGTAGGAAAAACATATCTGAAGATATCTATATAAATTTATAAATACTTCTTGACAAAAATATAGTTTTAAAGTGTCCTAAATCAAAGAAATCGTCATGAAGGAGAAGTACAACCTCATAGCACTTTTTTTTTTTAAAAAAGGAAACAGAACGTCTGGTTTGGAGAAGGTGGGATTCACGGGGGCTAAGACAGCTGTCATTTACGATGTGTGTGCACACCAGGAGGAAAAGGACTTAGACTTATTTTGCATGCCAAGTGATACACTGACTCAATGTACGAAAGAAATGCTAATTAGGGCTGGTTAAAGACTAACTAGCTGATGAGGAAGTAATGAGTTCCCTACGTGCGGAGACGTTCAACAGTGGCTGATCACGAATCAGCAGGATTGACAGAGAAAGGCTTCTGGTGCCTGATGGATGGTTAAATAGGGGACTTCTGCAGTTCCTTCCAGCTCTGTTATCCCCTCATTCCATTTGAGGTAATATTTTCCAAGTCTCCTCTAATATATTTTTATAGAGAGGTCATAGCACGAGATGGAGTATATGATGTGACTTGTATTAGAGGTTATATTTTATTTGATCTTATTTAGGCTCTTAAAGATGACTTAGAAGAAAGAATTAAAACCATAAAACCATTCTGTACCATAGCAGTGGAGCTATTAAGTGGCACGGGCTCTTTACTTCTACCGCCTTCCAGTACCCACACTTAGGCTACTTCACCTGCAGGCTTGAGCCAGACAGCAAGTCCTGGGGACCAATTCTACTCAAAGGTGGGGGTTTAAGACATTATAAGGAACCTCGTCAGTAACAGAGGGGGTTCAATCGGAGACAATTTTGCTACCAGCCTTGGAGCCCTGACCTGGGGCCCATTTCTCATTACTGTGTCCCTCCACTCTGTGTCCTTGGTCCAGCCAAAGAGTCTGTAAAAGATGTTCCCAGATGCCTGCATTGCCCACACCCTGACCCATTCTCCCAGCCACAGGTGATTGGACCAAGGATGGGCGGGCCAGCCAGTCCACTGTGGCCTGGGGGTGAGGACGAGCTGCCACAATGACATGGCTACGCCAAGAGTTTGGGAGTCTGACCTGTAAACTTCAGGACATACAAGGTAAGTAGGCTGAGGAAGCTGATCAAAATAAAAGAGTCGTGGGAAAGAAACACAGGCAAGAAGGGAGCCTGAGATGACAGAAGCCACGTGGCTTGCGGGGGAAAGAGAACAGCCTTGATTTCTGATGGGTCTTCTGTTCCAGGGAGGCCTGGATGGAACGGAAATGATAGCGCCCGACACCCCCTCGGCACTTGGTGCACACTGGCCACCGCAGGAGGAGCTTTGCGGGGATTATTTAACTCTCACGATACTCCTGTAGCAAAGGTACCCTTATTATCGTGGTTTTACAGTTGGAAAAAAATGAGATTCAGGGAGAGTAAAGTGACTTGCTTGATTGAGGTCATGCAGCTCATAAGCAAAACTGAGACTGTGTTTCATTTCCTCGTCCATATCCTCATGACTGTCAAGCCACTCAGTCCCCCAGCCCCCACCTCCAGCCCTGAGACCTGGGTCTGGCTCCCCGACTCCCCCAGAGTCTTCCTGGGACTGGTGTCCTGCCCATGAACGTGGGCCCAACATCTGGGCCTTGTTCCAGTTCCCAGTCACTCACCACTACTTCCTGCAGCCTTCCAGGCCCCAGGGTGTCCTCTGGCGGTCAACACACCTTCTCTGAGCACAGAGGGAGTGTGAGCAGTAGGGCCTCCTTATGTCTGTCCACTCCCACCTCGAAGCCCTCAGGAGACTGTACCAATCTGTTGGCTCTACGCTGTCCCATCGCCCACCACTGGGTCGGCCCCTCCAAGCTTGCTACCAGGGAGAAATGGTACTGTCTGGGTCCCAGCGTCTCTGCACACAAGTCCAAACCAAGGCTTCTGCTAGAGAAGGCACTTTATGAGATGGCCTTTCTGTCAGGCTTCCAAGAAACACCGATCAGCACATTAAGAGGACCAGACAGAGATGAGTGATGACAGGCCAGCCTCAGCTCCAGGGAAACAGAGCCAGAGCTTTGCCTCTCTATAAAAGCATTGTTTTAATAAGCTGCGTGAGTTGAGCTGGGAAAAGTGTACATCAAAGCACTCTGTTGACAGAAAAACAGACTCATCAGCCACCTCAGCTAGTGATTAAAAAGGTTTGACATGTATCAGCTCTACGTGGTGAGGATGCACAGAAAGAACCGAAAATGAGGCTTGAGACTGACCGGACTTTGATGACCTCTATGACTCCTGACCGCTTTATCTGGGACAACTGAGAAGAGACACTTTTTCAAGCTTCAAATCAAGAACTTACTCTTTCCAAGAATCTGCCTATGACTTGATTTGTGATTACGATTCCTTCTCATAAGAGTACAAAGAAGGTTTTCAGTTAATTCCTCGGTGATAGAAGGAAAAGCCATTCCTACTACTGTACAGATTCCCTGCAGCTCAGATCAAATGTCAGGTGAATAATTTCAATGCAACTTCGTTAACATCCTGTGACAGCGTACCACACGTCAGGACTCCACAGGATGGCACAGCAAAAATTAGAAATCAGATTTATCTAAAAATATTAAGAAACGAAACCAGGCAGATATCCTTGTCCTTATTTTATAAATTCAAGAATTTTCTGACAGTGATTCAACGTGTTAGCTGAGATTTCAGAATAAAACACTGGCTTCCAAATGGCCTACCTATATAACATTCTGCATTGTGCAGGCCATTTTAAAGGAAACTTAAAAAAATTATTTAGTTTGTTTTGGAGGGGGAGGTAATTAGGTTTATTTATTTAAAAAATTTTTAATGAAGGTGTTGGGGATTGAACCCAGAACTTCGTGCATGCTAAGCACACACTTTACCAGAGTTATACCCATCCCCCTTAATGGAAACATTTAATCAGACTTTTTTTTTAACCTCTTCATAACTTGTGACAAAGTCAGTGGTGACAGATATCACTTTTGCTATATTTATGACAGTTCTCGTTTTCCTGGAACGGAAATTAAATACACAGAGTTTACTCTTTCAGACAAGACAGAGTTTGGACTAGTCTGACCTGGCTAGATAACCTTTAATTATAAGCTTGTGGAAGGTAGTAAAACGATCGTAGTTTGAGGGTACAAAGGGGTTAGTGTACTCTACGAAAAGGCAAAATTTCATCACTTTCCCTGGCCAAAGCAGCTCTTATTGTATAAAACACCTCTTCCTACATAACAATCTTCTCAGGGCTGGACTCTCACAATTCCCAACAACTGCATTAGATGCAGTCTTTAAAAAGGCAGGTCACTTGCTCCGTGGCCGGAGGGTGGGGGTGGGTGGGGCCCTCCCTCTCCCAGGCTGAGTCATCCACTTTGCCCAGGTTATCCTCGCTCCTGAGGAATGAAGAACAGCTGTGGTGTGTTGTGACGACCACGGCACTGCTGGTTCGCTCTTTAACTGCTTGGCTTTACTGTCATCTCATGACTCAATTTAGATTTAAATGGATACAATCCAGGCAACATTTGTAATATCATCTCTTACGTCAACTTGGTGTTTTACAAACTGTACGTAAGGTATACAAATAATGCAACTTATTTTACAAATAGATTTTTCAAAGTGCCAGATGTCCAGATAGACTTGATCATCTTGATAATCTCATTTCTAAATTCACAGTGGTACCTTCAAGAATGGCCTCCAAATCAAACTTACGCAACCTAAAAATAACCAATTCTTTTTATTAGTTTCAATAAAATGAACCTCTGACTCAGAATCAATCAACAATTTCAAAACAAGGAACAACAAGAAAACACTAAATTCCAATTCCCAAACATCAACATCAGCAGGTAAGGAAGTGCTACTTTTTCTAAGTTTCTGTTCCCAGAAGTATTCCTGGGGCTGTCCAAACCTAAGAATATTTTTAAAATCCTAAAAATATGACCTTACAGTCATAGTAGTGTCTGACACATAAGTGCTCAAGAGATACTGACTGAACAGTGAATAAAACAATTGTCAAAAATTTGGGAGCTTGACGATGTTATCAGGATCATCCTGTCCAGCCTTCTAATTTTCAGATGAAGGAAGAGCGGTCCAGAGAGGTTGACTTACTTGTTCAAAACCACACCGCTAGTTACTGGCAGAGCGGAACCTAGAACTCAGGATTCCTGACCTCAAGTCCACTTTGCCCAAAGTCTCTTTATTTTCTCAGGTTCCTCATGCACTTGGATTTTTAAAGATTGAAGGAGCCTGCGGCCAAGAGCTCAGACCAACCATAATGTTCCCACAGCTATTCATTAGGTAGCAGGTGGGCCTTCCCACAAGTCAGGACGCCGTGGGAATCTGCCCGCGTGTCATTTACTGGTTAAAAACATCAGCTTGATTTTTCCTTAGAAAACTACCTTTAAAGTAATGCTACCCTACTCTGAAATGGTTTATTAAAAACAAACTAATTAGTGCAGAAATAGATCCTATATAAGAGAGGCTAATTATAAAGCCTTACATTGGGAGGTTCTTTACTGTTTATGAAGGCAGCCTGTATTACCTTGTAGTTCTGTTCCTTTCCGTATCAGTTAATTGATTTGCCAGATAACATCTTGCTTTTGAAACGGAGTCTCAATAGTGCTGCAATTGGTGAGAGATGAAGGTACAGAACCCGGTAATGATTCCAACAAGACGGGCTCCTCTTTGGTTCAGCACAACAGGTGGTGGGTTAGAGGTAAGGCAGAGTGTCAGCAGAGGGACTGGGCGGGGCAGGGCTGCCTGACCAGCCTCTCCTTACTTACGCTTGGCTACTCTCCTGATTTCATTGCAGCCATAATCGATTTGAACAGGAGGTGGCGGAGTGTGTACTTGACCTCAGACACCAAACACCCAGTTTCAGAAATACTGTATGGTCAGCCTGATTTCAGACGCCTTCGGGCAAGCCCAAAGCAAAGGACAGGAGAAACCCTAATCAAAGATGAACTTTCATCCAGAGGCAAAGGATTTAAAGATGCCCAGAGCTGACTGGTGATCTTAGGCAGGGGGTGCCCCAGGCCGGCAGGCTCTCCCACCCACCGCTCTGCGCACACGTGACCATTACCTGCCTGGGCTGGTTGACTTTTGCTCCTGAAGACAACAGTAGTCGAATCACATCCAAGTAACCCCCTTGGGCAGCCAGGAAGAGTGCGGTGGCTCCATCCTGACAGACAGCAAATTGCAAGTGTTACCAAATCATTTTTCACATTTATCATAAAAGAAATTCAATTTAAAAATACGTATTTAATACAATTTTCTGTTCCCCCTTTTTTTTCACATGTGGTTAGTGTTTTATTATTTGAAGAATGGTTCTAGAATGTCACAATGAGACAGGCTGAAAGGAAAGTTTTAAATAGTTTCACAAGGCTGAGTTACAATATATGTAATGACTGTTCACTATACGAAATCTTGGTCAGGGAACTTATGACACATCCAGTTGGAAAACTCAGGTTTTCCAAATAGCCAGTCATCATTTTTCTCCTGCCTGCGTAGACTTCTCATTAGCTGCCTTCCGCTTCTGTGGCATGATCTTCAGAGGCCACCCCCTTTTTAGTTAGATTAAAAAACACATACATTTAATACAATTTTCCATTGCAATTCTTTTGTCACTAAGAGCAAAGTGTTCGTTAAAAAACAAAAACAAAAAATAAAAGTCTGTTAATAAAAAACAAAAACCAAACAAATCCCCCAAATCTATTTTGTGTGCTTTCACGAGTCAGTAATGAAAAGTGTCCTTTATTATATACTCTTTATTCCTTTCTCTCTCGTGCTCCCTCACCCACATTCCTTCAACATGCAGTTTCTCTAAGCTTTAAAACACAAGATGCTTTCAGAATGCCTCCCCAAGTAAAAACGTCCGTGAACTGTCTCCTTGCCAGCCCAGCAGGCACCAACAATGCCTATCCACACAACTAAGCCATCCCGCATAAAAGCCCACAGCAAGTGCTTGTTTCCGATTTTATTTAGTTTTCTTTTTAACTGGGTGCCTACATCTTCTGGGCTTTTCTTTTTTCTTGAAGACATGTCATTGAGTAATTTCAGCAAATACATGGATCAGTTGAGAGCATGCCTCCTCCCAGATGCTCACTTCACACAGATTGCACTCACAGGACAGGGTGAGCCTCCTTAGTCTCAGACCGCATGGAAAACTCAAGCATCTGTAGTGGGAAACACTCAGCTAACTCAGCTAATTACCACCCCTCCCGTCTCGTGAACACTAATCACATGCTTAAAGCACCCTCCCTGCAAGTCCAACCAGGCAGAGGGTGCTGGGTTTCCTGTGGGTGTCGGCTGAGCTGCCAGACTCCCCTCAGGGCAATCATTAAAAAGTTACTCTGCCTGGACAGATTTTTTAGCAGCTGTTTGATATGGGATACAATTTCCAACTGCTCCTCACTGTGTTGCCACTGAAAGTCTTCCATGCCCTTGGTGGTGATAACTCTTAGGAATTTGCCAAAAACGGATCTCCAATGCACTGGATTTCTTTCTTCTACTGTGCATTACAAATTTGTTCCTAGAAGTTTTCAGGAATCACTGATACCCCGCCCCCTACTCCTGCCCTATATTTCAATTGCTGTTAATGGAAACATCTATATTTGGACTGTTTGGGTAAGGGTAAAAGCCTTAACATAAAATGGAAGTTCTAGTGCATGGAATTTCCAGGTCGCCTTATAACAGAGAGGAATTTACCATGGGAATGGGCTCTCTCCAAACTCTAAAATCAAGTGCCACCTCAATGAGCCTTAGGGAAGAATGCCATCTAACAGTGCAAGTTCTATAGCCATAGTCAATTTGGATGGCTGACTACTAACGGTAAGGCTCTGAGAATTACAACTCATTTTCCTTTTCCAAAGACTGGGGCTCTTCCTAGTCAGCCTGCGCATACACATTCTCACATGCACTCTCAGCTCCACCATCTTCAGCCCAAGAGACACAAAGCTGTAGACCTCTGCTGCTTAGACGTGACCACATGTCAGAACCACCTGGTGCCCAGGCTGTGCCCTCAGAGACTCCAGCTTAGTTGTTCTGGGGTGGGCCCAGGAAGCTCCCTAGGGGGCAGCCAGAGTTGAGAATCACTCCTTCAGACCACTGTCAGCCATTGACCCAGGAATGCCATGGGCTCAAGGAGTGTTACGGATTTTTAAGTGCAGAGGGTAAGGTTCCTGTGAACGTCACAGAGGTCTGGGATTCATCAGAGGTATCCATGTAAACTCTGGAAAGGGTGTTCAAATGGAAAAGTTCACACCTACACATCTCAGTACACAGCTATGAAAGTATAGCGCCCCCTAGGCACAGGGCTGACGTCTCGCAGTACAACAGCCTAAAACACAGGTCCCAGATAACTGGACGCAGGAATTCTCTGCTCCTTCCCATGAGACTCTGTAAGTCACTTCATCTCCCCATATTTTATTTTTTCCTCCAAAACCAGAATAATATTTTCCACACATCCTCTGGAATTATGGTGACAATTAGAAGTGCTTGGGTAAAGTGCTAATTGCCAATTAGCTGCAAACAGACCCACACCGGCAGTGGGTGCCTTTCAAGGTCAGTGGGTGCATGTATTCCACAGATCTTCATCCACCCAGCCTCACTTCTCTTCCAAATAACTTGATTTCTCTTTTTGGGGGGGCTCTCCCTCCCAAATAACTACAACAGGAGAATTTATTTTGGTGTTCAGCAAGTCCATATGCTGAGCTTGTCATGTTATGAACAATTGTGTATCACATGATCTTTAAAGTTCTTAATTGCACAGGTAGATAAAATATCTCATACGTGCAAGAGATTTAAGAGGGCAGAGCAAAGGTGGGTACACAAGATTATGTGGTTTCTGTATAGAAAAAGCTCACCCAGTTAACTATCTTTTTCCCTCAATGTCTCAGATGCCACTTCTGGCGTCAGAATTTGGACAACAGCAGCGTGTGTGTGATGAAGGAAGGAGTGAGTGTCTCCCTAAAGCCCCCCTGAAATGCACTCACATAAAGCTGATCGTGGATGTTGGCTCCGTGTTTCAGCAAGGTCTCCACCACCTGCATGTGCCCGTACTGACTGGCGGCCAACAGGGCAGTGCCCCCGTCCTGTGGTCATGCAAAGTATAAATGCATCAGAAACAGTGCAGGCACCAAATTATCAAGAAGACGCTCCTCATACGTGAGAACTTTGGAGAAGAATTTCCCACACATCATAACAAACTCACTTTTCCTCTTTGTTTTACCTTTTCTTTATAATCGTGACAGAGTTCATCTTCAGAAGTGAGTTACATTGTACACTGGGTGACTTGCTTGAGCTATATTACAGTTATTTGTCTAAGTTACTAGGCTTAATTTAGGAACGCCTCATGTCAAGTGCAGAATCATCAATTTGCCTCGCAATAAAGGAAACAAAGAACAGAAACTCTGTACCAATCGTGTCTCCTGTGGTTTCTGGCCAGAGACCCAATTGACAAATGTTGGCTTCTCTCTGTGGTTCCACCCAGCTGTAGGCCTCTGAGACTAAGGTGTTTTCAGGGAGTAAACCTGTGGGGGCACCGCCTTCCCGGGACAAGGTCTGCATGCACGGAGACGGGAAACCCACGTCCTCTCACCCTCCTACGTAGCATTTTCCTTTGAACATGTGCTAATTGGTCCAGGTCTCAATGTGGCCCTAGGACTAAACAGAGCATTGGAAAGTAGGTGCGGTCTGATGTGGAATGAGAGGTGCCTTGGTTCCATCTGCGCTACTTTTATCTCTGCAGGCTAAATTTGAATTAGCATTTATGCCAACCACACCACACTACTGACTCACTGAGTCTGTGGTCAACTGAAATCCTTAACGGTTTTCTCAGGTGCCGGGCCGAGGCGTTCCCTTTCCCCACCGAGGACTGCTGCGCTGTGTGTTTGGCTCTGTGATTGGTATGTGGACATCTGAGCTAAGTATGTATCAAGGAAGAACGTGGAATCTGGTTCTAAAATACAAATCATAAATATAAGATTGTGTGGTTTCTAAATTTGGGCGTAGAGTGTTTATTCAGAATGCCCACTCTCTGATTCAGTAGGTCTGGAGGGAGGCCCAGAAATAGGCTTTTGACCAGTTGCGTGAGGTGACTGTAAGGTGCAGGTGGCAGGTGGCCCTCACACGGAGAAAGACTGCCGTAAGGCGTCCTGGATCCACAGGCAGCCAAGATCCTGGGGGATGCACACGGCTGACAAAGGCTTCAGCGAGGCTGGGCTGTGGGGTGTGGAAGAGCTGTATTTCAAAGGGAGGGGAATGGAAGGGAGAGACTGGCGGGCTGCGGCCGGTGGTGGGGTGGAGGTGGGTTGTGGGGGAGGGGGAGGGGTGGGTTGGGGGAGGGGTGGGCACCAAGAAACTGCTTAATAGCAGCAATGAGCACCAGGGTTTCCAAGTTTCCTTGTGTCAGTTTTCCCAGCTCTTCGCCTAGCGGGTTTAGAGAACAGATAAAACACGACGATTGTCACGGAAGAGCTGATACCGTTTCTCTTTAAAAGCACACTTTGGGGATGTAGGTTTAATTACGATGAGAAAAGTCATTGACACAAAGCCAGATGTGAAGACAGGATCTTACTAAAACTCAAAGCCTCCCGACATGGGTCTTCTTCCCAGGGAAAGCTCCTGGCCACCCACAGCGGACCTCATGGACACACGTGGAGCTGCTCGCCCTGGGCCCCATGCTCCGTGGATTCGGGGACAGTGCAGACTGGCTCATGTACAGAGGCCAGCATTAGCTTGTTAGCCAAGAAGAACGAAGCCGCCATCTGGTCACACCCGATCATTTCGACTTAGAGTTGAGTCTCAGGTTGATAGAACTTTACTTTTTATTTTCGGTTGTATCACTTTACAACCGAAAATAAAATGAAAATTAATATAAAATATGTATCCACATGTATTTTGGATTACGTCTGTTATATTCAGCATGTTTGGGGGCATGAACAGTCTGACAGCAGGTTTTAGAGAAGACAGAAACCCTATGTGAAATTCACATCTACTTAACAGCATTTACAGAAAAAAAAAACCCACTGGAAACTCCCTTGATATCAAAAGGTCACATAACATGAATTAAGAAAACTTAAAAAAGTTTCCAACTAGGGCAAATTTTCAGGAATTTTTTTGTTATGACTAGCCCAGAAATAAGGTGACAATTACAAAAATGGGATAGCTGTTCAACTTCTTCTACAAAACATCATCATGAAAAATCATTGTGAACACAAAATTGATCTCTCTGCAGCCTCAGTTTTCTTACCCATACATTAAATACGAGGACTCAATGACTTCTTTGAGGAAGAACCACAATTCCTTGCTCAACTATATAAACTGCAATCATGTATTACATATTTTAGCAAAGACATCTCAGAAAGTAAACTGCCCGCCAAATCATCCTCCTTAGAAATACCTCAGATATATATCTCAGATACACATCTCAGATACGTAACAAAACTTAGTGTCCCAGAGTAGAAAGCTACCAGTATCTAAGTAATACCCCCTATCAAATTTTCCAGTTGTGAGCCCAGAGTAAAACTGTCATATTTTGAATTGAATTCCTAAGACTCACCCTGAATCATTACAAGGAACTTCATTTGTGAAACCCACCTTCATAGGCTCGAAATTCTCGTAAAAAGAAAACATAAATTCTTACTATGGGTGAAGAAAAATGAATTCTCATGACTGCTAAAATTCTTCAACAGGGTATGAAATCAAGAAAATTTTCTTACTTTGGTCCTAAATTCAGTGGATGCTCCAAATTCAAAGAGAAATCTCACGATGTTATTATGTCCTTGTTGGGCAGCAAAGAACAGGGCAGTTGTACCTGACTGGGAGGGAAAGAGAGACTGGTCTTAAAGATATTGGGTTACATTACATTTGACCTATGTGTCTGCAAACAAAACAAACCAATATCCTTGCATATAAACTTCTTGCCTAGGAAGGGGCTACATTTGAACAGACTGTATTCCTTGTTCCAGTAAGTGACAAGTTGAAAGGAAAACTTTATTTTTGGTGTAATGGGACAACTGGTGGACCCCCCAAAAGCTAGGTCCTCTCCTAATTCCTGGAACTTGTGAATATTGTCCTGCATGCCAAAAGGTATGATTAAGGTAATGACTTGAAGAGAAGGTCCTTACTCTGGCTTGTCCTGGTGGGCACTAAGTCCAATGACAGGTGTCTTTGTAAGAGTGAGGCAGAGAGATACCTGACACAGAGAAGAGGAAGAGGCAACGAGACCACAGAGGCAGAGATGAGAGTGATGGGGCCACAAGTCAAGGAATGTCAACAGGTACCAGAAACTGGAAGAGGTAAAGAGTGAACTCTCCCCGGAGCCTCCGGAGAGAGAGAGAATACAACCCTGCAGACACTTTGAATTTTCTGGCCTCTCATCTTCTTAATAGACATGAATTTTAGAGACAACCAGGGGTCATTTCTGGGAGTTGTTTCTTCATTAAGAGAGAGGATTTGTTTTTCAATAGGCTTTTTGGATACATTAATTACAAAAATTCTACCTAGAGCCATTTGAACCAATTTTGGAACGTAAATACTATTAATTGTGCACAGGAACACAGCAATCGGCGGACGACAGGAGCTGGACTCCAGTCTGGAATGTGAGTCAAGGTCTTAAGTGCACAGGCTTCACTCTGGAGACCCTGGGCTTCATGACCCCTGCACGTGCAGCGCCTACAGATGTGAGTTTACTCCGCCAATACTGCTGATTCTCCAGGGAGATGGCCTTTCAGGACCATCAGCTTCCAGTTGTCTCCCCAGCAAACTCTGTGTGTCTAGACAGCCAACCAGAGCAAACAATGGCAGGTACTTTTTCAGGAGACAAATATTCTGATATTGCAAAATGGATTACACGCGAACCAAAGAAGAAGTGTACTCTAAGCATTGGTTTCCTAGCCCTGCCAGCCACGCTCTTTCAGCCTCCAAAGCATGCAGCTGAGGTCCGGGCCTCTCTTTGGCTCTATTTTCCCAAACTGGCCTGGCCTTGGGGAATTCAGCAGATCACTGGGCACTTACACGCCATCGTTATTTGAGCCACACATTTAGGTTACCTCTAAACCAGGCACACTGGGTTCAATACAAAATAGTTTCCATCTCCAAGAACATTAGTTGAACAATTGGAACCAAATGGATAAACATAAAAACATTCATTGGCTGGAAATCAAACAAATGTTTCTCTTCTTCTCCCAGCTTTTCTCTGCTGTTCTTAAGACATTTTTGTGTATGTTGAACTAGCCCTTCAGGATAAAGTTTTTGAGTAAGCAGATCCAGATTATGTTGTTTTTATTAGAGAAAATCGGTCTTTTCTTGAAAGTTCAAATAAACAAAGACCGGAAAGCAGAGAGGAAAAACAAAAAGATTAGAGAAATTTTAAAGCATAATTCTAAATGGGCCCAAACATTTTGCTTCCAGAAGAAAATCAGCTGCTGGAGTGAAAATGACCTAAAACAATGATCCAGTGTTGTGGAAATTGCTCAGATCTTATCTGTCTGGGAGAAGACTGGACGGAGCTGCTGCATGCAGTCTCTTGGCACTGCTCCTCTCGGAGACCACGCTTTCTGATCCCGGCCTACAGGGGACCAGGCCCCAGATGCTGTCCATCAAGGGTCACTCTACCAAGGTGACACCCAGAGGGGAGGTGGAAGGGACTTCTAGATACCCCATGAACATGCAGCCCTCACACATGGTTTGTCTTAATTTGTTCCTCTCAGGGATGGAGTCCAGCTTGGAAGAAGGGGTGTATTGTTCGATGAAAGTCTGGTTGGCAAATCATCCATTCTGAAACAATTGCAGGGCAGGCCCTTAGGTGAGACTGGATCAAGGAAAACCAAGCGCTCCAGTCTGCTCTGGAGCCAGGATGCCCTTCTCAGGTCTGAGTGGCTGTGGACTCAGAGGTCAGATTCACTCTAGGTGACACCTGTAGATGTGCCTCCATTAACCTTAACTTAGCAGGCCCTATTATGGCTTGAAATATATAGAGGCTCCCCCAAATAAACTTTTATTTTTTATTAAAAAAAAAAATCCCCAGCCTCCCATTGCTCCTCTGCACTGGACCGAGAATGGAGCCTCTGGCCAGATGGAATTCCCAAGATTGCCTTCCAATGAAGTGAGGGAACAGCTCACATTCTAGCCCGATGTTCACCATATGGCTTTTGGGGGAGAACTTATTTAATTCATGGCTAGTCAAAGCTCTTGGAAAACACGGTTTGGTGAGGATGGCTGAGATAGTCTAGCAAGAGAGCCTTGTTAACAACAGGTTGGAGACCCAATCCTTCTGAAAATATAATGATCGCTATGAAAATCTTATAAATTCCATAGCATCTCATCCCCAGAAAAGAAGGAAGAACTGATTTAGGCTCAGGGCAAAATACATGAGAGTTTAAGGAATATGATTTGGAGGTTTGGTTATGTCAGATGCAACACGCTGAGCAGATAGGTTCAGCTGAAGTACAACCAGCGTCACTTCCTGGGCCTTATCTACACACAATACAGTCTGCAATCTGGGCCTTAAGGCCCTGGGGAAAAAGCAATGATTACAGTTGGCCCTCTGTATCCACAGGTTCCGCATCCATGGATTCAACCAACCACAGATAGAAATGATTAAAAAAAGAAAAACTCTAGAAAGTTTCAAAAAGCAAAGCCTGAGTTCTCCATGTACCAGCAAAGCATTTATTTACAAAACATTTACACTGTATTAGGTAATATAAGTAATCTAGAGATGTTCAATGTATATGGGAAGAAGTGTGTAGATTATATGCAAATATGATGCCATTTTTCATAAGGGACTTGAGCATTGAGATTTTGGTTCCATAGGGGGGCAGTCCTGGAACCAATGCCCCATGGATCTGGAGGGAAGACTGTTCTCTAGTCCTTCTCAGCAATTCACTACTGTGACAATTTCACATCTCTGTCACCTGTATTCTTTTTTTTTCAGTTTTATTTGGTAGAATTGCTACAATTTGACTGCACATATACAATATACTGCATATAAATAGACACACAATATACTGCACATATTTTTAAAATTTACATATATGTACTGTTCACTGTTTAAGAACACTTAGAGCTTTTTAAACTTACATAGTTATCAAAGGAATAAAGCCAACCATAAAATAATAATTAATTCAAAAAGATACATACACTCCGTTATTAACAGCAACATTATATAAATAATTATATAAAATTGCCAAGATATGGAAGCATCGTTAAGTGCACATCAACAGATGAATGGATAAAGAAGATGCAGCATATATATGCAATGGAATAAAATCACCCATAAAAAAGGATACTTTGCCATCACCTGCATTATTCTTATTCAGGTGCAAAACCTGACCTACCTCTCTCTGGAGATTGATGTCAGCTCCCTGCAGAACGAGCTCCCTCACACAGTCTATGTGCCCAGCATAGGAGGCGACCATGAGGAGAGTGGTGCCATGCTGCACGGAGGAGAGACAGATGAATAGTCAGGTGACCGCGATGCCAGAGACGTCAGCTCTACTCAGGATACTTCTGAGCTGAGCACAGCATTTCCTGCAGTAATTACAACTGTGGCATGAATAATCTTCTAATGCAGACCAGACAGGAAAAAGCAAAGTGACAAACTGCTGAGGCTGGAATTTTCAATTAAAAAATTCGCTTACTTCCATTACCCTCAGAAACGCCATCCAAGTGAAGCACAGTTACTGCATTGTGAGGCAGCAGTGATGTAAAGGTCTCATTTTATGATTCCTGTTAAAGGATTCCTGAGACAAAACATTGTTATTAGTGCACAAAAATGGGTTAAGTGGTACCAGCTGGTTTTCTGAGTTTAGAAGTCTTTACCTTCAAACTGGTTCAGGTAAAGAGATGAGAGACTACAGAAGAGGCAGGAGCCTTGGGGCCCAGGCCCACCTCTGTCATCACCAGCGGGTAACCTGGGGCACACTGCTTCCAATTCCTGGGGCTCGTTCACCTCATCTTTAAAATGAGGAGTTGGATGAGATGATCGCCAAGGTCTTTGTCAGCTTTAAGATTCAAGGAATTGAGATGCAACGATACGAACCCCTCCAATTCAAGGAGACGTTTGTGATTTAATTTATAGTTGTTTTCAGGGGCTTGAAACTGTCATCTGAATCCACCACCTCTGTGGATTCGGCAGCCTGCCCTTGCGGAGCGGACAAGAGAGCGTGAGGTTCTGCACGTGCGGAAGGCTCCCTAGGCACGGGGTGATAAGTGACTCAGAAGCCTCGTGTTGTTTACATCTGTGGGGTTTTGCAGGAAGACAGCATAGTTGAGTGGTCACTGAGGTATGATTCTGGGCTGGCCATCTGACCTTTCTAAGGCTCATCCTTCTCATCTGTAAAATGGGATCTGCCTGATTAAATTAAATGAGAAAAAGAGCTAATTCGGGCAATCAGTTTAGCATAGTAATGTTAAATATTCAGGAAGTGTTAGATATTATAATAGTATGATGGCTTAGTAAATGTCAGGGTACTATTCGGCTTTTGTTGACTTGCGTGAATAACAATTCTAGTTTTGGGGAAGTCTTGTTTGCAATAAATAAAAAGTACAAGTTGAGTCAAGAAAAGCTAACGGCTTCACAGAAGTGCCCTGTGATATTCTTCTATCCAATGTGACCGCATTTGGTATTTGAATGTAAGACCCGCATGTCAGTTAAACCATCCATTACTCAGCTGAACTCCTTCCTCCACATTTTTTAAGACTGGAGTGGCAAACCTGATAACAAGATTCCTCTCAAATGTGAGAAAATTTTTATTCAGAATGCAGAGAGACAATTCCTTGATTTAAAGCCCATCTGAACAGACAAGCTATGAATGTATCCTTTACACGAGAGGTGAGAACATATTTTTATCATGGGTCACACTGGTGTCAAAATACAAATCAATCATGAGCTAGAGGAAGCACAGAGCACTCAACTTGGATATTTAAAAAAGAAAAGAAAAAATGTTAGGCTCATCTATTTTCAAGTAAGGGAAGAGGCAAGAAACAAAGAACAAAAACGCTCCTTTAGAGATTGTACTTCACTTCTGCATCATGGTCAACTGAGACAAAGTCAGAGGTTGGGGCAAAGGAGGAAGAGAATAAAGAAGAGGTATCCGTTGCTGCATGAAGCCACACAAAAATATTTCCTTTATAGTCAAAAACCTATGAGTTTGACTGACTTTGATTCTCTAAAGAGTAAGGTTATTTCACTTCATTGTCTGATGTTAAACTGTACCTTAAAACGGGCTGATTGTAAACAGAGGATACACTGGTTATAAATGCAGGGAAGACACAAACAAGACAGTGAAACACACGCATTCACACAACTAAAGGCGAAAGCGTCTTCCATCACACATCCTGTGGTAACTGTGTGTCAGAGGGATGAGCAAACCAAAAGAGGTACACGTCATGTGAAGGCAGCATGAATCCAGGAACAGAAGACAAGTGAGTGCCGACAATTCTGAGCTCTGCTGTGTGGCAGGTGGCCTGGAGACAAGGTGTTTTTTCTTTACGGGCTGTTTGTTGGAAACGTTTGAACTTGGCCACACTTGAGATTAGGAGCCATTCCCAGGAAAGCCCCTGGAACTCTCCCTGCACCTAGCACCTCTCACAGGTATCCTAGGTGATCCTGGGCCTGGCCCCACTGGTGAGGGCAACGCTAGCCTAGAGGCCTCTGACCACCAGAAGAAAGCATCCTGGGACCTGGACTCCGCCTTCAGGTGGCACGTGGAAGAGGCAGATAGCCACCCGGGGAAATCTGGAGGGGAACAAAGGCCTGCACTGTCCCTAAACATCTCCCTGCCTCTGCCACCGCCAGTCTTAGAGGCCCTTTCAAAACAAATGTGCCCTCTGAAATGACCATCACATAGACTCGCTCCTTTGGGTTATGGAATCATTTCTCCAGAATGCTCCTGATAAAATGATTTTTTGTTTTAAACAAGGAGGAGTAACCTGTAAACATACTAGCATCTGCTCATAGAAGCAAAAATTTTTAATAAAAATAGCTACTGGCTACCCAGCACTCAGAGTCAGAGTGTGAGTCTGAGTGGAAAGGAGGTGGTCAGACAGGTGACCTCTTGATGGGGAAAGGCAGGGAGTGTGGGGTGCGGCAGCAGGGCCGGGGCAGGGTGGGCAGGATGCGGGTGGGTGGCACTGGGAGGTGGTCCTGGGAAGCCGGAAGACAGGAGATGGTCAGAGGGGTGTCTAAAAAGGTTGACTTTAAGAAAAAGGAATAAAGTGGTCATCAACATGGTCAGGGGGTGAGGCCACACTGAAACTGGGCATTCCTACTCTAGTTCTGCCCAGCAAGACCCAAGTAAGACAGGATGGCCAGTTCACAGACGCCCAAGACCCCATGTCACTCTGGGTCCAGGCAAAGAACAGATGGTACATTCAAACTGGGATAACTGGAAAGAAATTTTAATAAAGAGTCTATTTATAAAGCTATGTTCTGGATGTAGGGAAACCACGAAGAACAGAACTGGGAGCTACTAACAGTGCCTGCCCAGGCCCAAAGGCACGAGGGACAGGTGGTGGCTCCCAGGACGGAGAGGGTGAGAGCGCTGCTGCCAGCAGGAGCGGGGGCAGGGGAGGCACCGGGCTCCCCAACGTCCCAGTCCTCCCACCCTCTGGTTTCTGCCAACACTGTCATTGGCCAAACCCAACTGGAGGCCAGAATGAAGCGAGTCGCCTCGGCCAGGCCATACAGTTCCGACTCTGGGACACAGAGCCAGCTGGAGAAAGTTACAAGTGGGTCTGGAGGTGTAACTCAAGGTGTCCCGCACCAATGCCCCCAGGGGGCAAAGTGGAGCAATCTTGGGTACCTCACTGGGGCTGGCGGCTGATGTCACTTACCAAACTTGTGCAATAAAAGCTGGAAATGGCACACCCTGTTTTCAGGAAAACAGTAAGGATCCTGTGAAAACAGTTTTAATTCCTGAAGTCAAAACAACTCTCTCCTCATCTGAGGTCCTCTGAGTCCCGAGAGGTGAAGCCCTGCTGAGTACAGAGAAATCACTGCCTCCAGCTGGGGAGGGAGAGGCTCTCTGAGTGATGCCTGCCAGTGGGCAGCAGTATCTGTTTTTAGCTCCCCTTCATCCCCGATTAGTGTATTGATGTTTGCAAAGGTGATGAAGGGATAAGAGGCTGGGTGGAGCCTTCCATCTCTTAGTATAAAAAACCCAACTCCTGCATCCACCTCTGCCCCGAATTATCTGCACCTTTTCACCTTTCACAGTTGGTTTGAATGCTTTGACTAAACACCCTTTTCTTCTTGGACGCTGCCAGTTCTGATTCCCAGTGAAGTGTCTCTTCCCCTATTGTGGCCACCCTCTTTGATGCGTGTCATGGTTTCCCCAGTATGTTTTTAAGCTCACCCTGGTACTTTGGCCTTTATGAAAAGCAGAAAGCAAGCAAACACATGAAAGAGAGGATGAGCCCTGGAAAGGGAAGGGGTTCCCAAGGGGCGCTCATGCCAGCGGGGTGGAGGGGAGGCGTGCGCCGCGCATGCGTATACCGAACGGCTCGGGCCGTACACTGTCCCTGCAGTCCACGTCCACGCGGCCGCTGTTCAGCAACAGCCGGAGCAAAGTCAGGTTGCCTCTCCTCGCTGCCCAGAACGCCGCGTTGGCCAGCGGAGTTTCCTTCTGCAGATGCAAAATGAAACAGGCTCTTAAAATCGACCACTTCTATGCAGATGTATAACGCCACGCTAGAGGGAGAACTTCCAGATACGCGTTATCATTTGAAAGAGTGCCCTTCCGGCAACAGGTGATTGAAGCAGGCTTGGTTAGGGGATGCACCCTGTTTTACACCAGACACCTGAGCCACGGGGCCGTGAGGAGGAGCCCTGTTGTTGATAACGCAGTACTATTAATACCCTATTTCCCATCAGTGTCCTCACTTCCCTGCCTCCGTGTCTTTGTTCACAGTTTCCTTTTTGCTTGAAATGAATTTCCCCCATCCTTCAAGGCCACAGCTCTGCTTAAATGCTATTTCCTCCCTGAAATGTTCCCAAATCTCTCTTCACCTCTAAACAGAGGATAATCGCTCCCAATTCTCAGTTTACTGGCACCTTTTTGGTGCCCTCATTACTTTGTATCCGATTCCAGCTGCCTGGGGAAATGCCTCACTTTCCCTCCACCTAATTTTCTTTGTTTCAGCTGAAACGTGCCAGAGGTTTCTCTTGAGAGAAAGGAACTCTGTGCAGAAGACACTGTTATGTGTCCTCCTGTGGGCCCTTCACTCCAATGCTGGGTCATTTTTTAAAAAAAACTTTAAATTGAGGTATAGTTGATTTATAATGTGCTAATTTCAGATGTACAGCAGAGTGATTCTGTTGTGTGTGTCTGTATATATACATATATAATTTATACATATATAATTTTTTCAGATTATTTTCCCATCATAGGTTATTACAAGATACTGAATATAATTCTCTGTGCTATACAGTAAATACTTGTTGCTTATCTATTTTATGAGTAGTAGTTTGTATCTGTTAATCCCACGCTCACTCCTGGGTCATTTTAAAGTTGCTAAGGTAATGCTGGAACCATAACTGTACAAGGAATAGACCTGGAAAACAGGTCTTCAAAATCAGAGTGGCAGAGCTGACTGCAGCACAATTTCCTTCTCTAAAACAAATCGATTTGGATTTGAAGAGAACAGCTCATGGTGGGGGTCGGGGGAGAGGACAGAAACAGACAGCTTCGGTTTCAGCCCCAGCCCTGGGCAACAGACTTGGCCCTGGTGAGTCTTGGTTTCCTCTTGCTTAGATGGAGATCACATTTCCTGCCTTGAAGTTTATGGTAAGGATTAAATGATGTGGGTTAGTTGGCTAATATTGGTGCCCAACACATCATACATGCTTACAAATGCTGGTTTCCTTTCTCCTATCCATTTTTCTTCACAAACTTAGAATCGACAGGCAAAATTAAATTCAGAGTACTGGTACTAATAAAGAATTTTCTGGTCTCAGGAAATTTTCTAGTATTCAAATTGTTTAACAAAAATTTTGGGGGGGGGTAGGCTTAAAGCACCTATCTGGCTGTGAATGAAAAACGTTGCCTGCCATACCAGCAAAGGATAGTGCAGCTAGCAAGCCATCAGCTGCTACTGCTGCCTCTGGGGAACTGGAGGGAACTCAGGATGGAAACAAGCAGGCAGCCTGGCCTCTGTAGCCACCCCTAACAGTGCACCTCGAGGGACCTCAGGAAGGGAAAGAACAGAATACTGGCTCTTCATAGCCAGGTGCATATCAAAGGAATGATTTCAATGAGCCCAGACGCCTGCACCTTTCCATACATAGAAAAACACTAGATTCCTTAATTTGAGATATCTGGTTCTCTTTAACAGTAATCTTTTGATGTTCTGACTACACGGTCTTTATTGCAAAAATTCCTATATATCCTGGCTCCTCCCCTGCCTCTTTGGAGCAGTCTCAGAGCCATCTGAAAGGCTGCCTCCAGGGCTTGCATCCTCAGAAGGTCCCCATATAAAACAAAACTCTCAACTTATAGGTTGTGCATTTTTTTTCAGTCGACATGACCACAGGGCCTTCTGTGCAATGTCTTCTATCTATAAGGTACCACAAACAACACCTGACTCGCCTTCGCCGAGTGAAAAAGCACACACCAACAATTTCAGTCGCTCCACGGGGTCACACAAACGAAAGCCCAGGGGCAGCAGAGGGGTGGTAGCACCTGCTGGTGTGAGGATTTCATTCCAGAGCCCTGCAGCACACACACAACTCCGTGTTCCTGTGCGCTCTTGGACGGGAACGTGGCAGAGCAGGGAGTGATAAGTGGATTACAAACATACTTTGAATACTTTCCTGGCTCAGGAGGGAAAAAAAAATCACCTTGAATTCCAGATGAACAATTTGCTTTCCCCAAGGGTGTAAGTTTTACTGTCCCAGGAGTTTCCACACCCAGTGTTGGTGGCTTTTGCATCAGGTTGGGTCTGACATTATAGTTTTAAGTGGGAGAAGCAACAGCAAGGCTGGTTTGACTTGTATAATAAATCAGGACCTCGTGCACACTCAGCATGTGCCCTACCACTGAGCTATACCCTTCCCCCCAGAACAAAGCCCTTGTAATAGAGAGATTGCACAAGGCCAAAATAAAGTCTGGGAGGGTGAATCAGGAAGATAATTTAATATGCCCCATGGAATAGCTCCGCTGGCTTTTCCTGAAACATGAAAACTTGAGAGTAATAAATTGTAAATCACTTTCAGTGATTTTGTTATTTCACATTAACCCCAAATACCTTTCAAAAACCATCTGCAAACCACAAATTACTATTGTCATAACAAGCTCTCCAACCAGGAGCCTCTCCTGCCTTTAGGATGGCCTCTGGGATTCCTCTCTTGCACGGACCAGGCATCCTGGCTTCCTGTAAGGTTCTAGAAACTGAGCTCTGGGGAAAAGGTGTGAATATTTCATTTTCCCTCAAGGGCTTGATTTACTGGGAGGTGGAGGCATGACTGAGTAGTCAATCTAGGGTAAGAGACTGCTGAGTTCAAGTCCTTGCCTTGCTACTTCCCAGTTCTGTGACCTTGGGCAGGTTATTTAACTTCTCTCTGCTGCAGTGAGGTGGAGATAATAATATTAATGGTAGTACAGTCATCCCTCAGTATCCTCAGGGGATTTGTTCTAGGACCCCCGCAGATACCAACATCTGTGGATGCTCAAGTCCCTTATGTGAAACGAGGCAGCATTTGCATATAACCTATGCACATCCTCCCATATACTTTAAATCATCTCTAGTTTACTTATAATACCTATTATAATGTATATGCTATGTAAACAGTTGCCAGTGTGCAGCAAATGCAAGTTTTGCTTTATTGGAACTTTCTGGAATTTTTTCAAATATTTTTGATTTGTGGTTGGCTGAATCTGCAGATGCAGAAATTGTGGACATGGAGGGCAGACTGCACCTCTGACGTGGGTTGCTAGAGGATAAATGAGATAATATACATACATGCACTTTGACGGTAAACACTCGGAGACGCTAGCTCTAAATGCAAGGTCCTCACAGCCCTTTAAAAACCCTGTCCAGGAGAATTCATTTGCTTGGTCACTGGCCCGTGCTAGGGACAGTGGCACTGGCCAGGGGCTAGGACTAGAGGTACCAGTCAACCTTGATCTCTGCGCCAATGGCTTTATGGGCCAGCAGGAAATGAGCATCCCAGGCAGGAAGGACAAGGAAGCTCGCCGAGCATTCTGGGGACTGTCACTAGCTCGGAAGGGCTGGAGTGAAGGATGTGAGGCGAGAGAGGACAGGAGGTGCTGCAGGACCTGCTGTGCCACGCGATGGAGTCTGGACCTTATCCTGGTGGGCGCTGGAGAGTCAAGGAGAGGTTTTAAGGTGGGGAGAGACTA